GCCCAATTTCACATAATGGTTTAACCTTACATCTTGGCCCAACTTCACATAATGGCTTGACTTGACTAAGTCCTCTTTGCTCCTTATGGAACATAGGGCCTCCACCATTTCCTTCCATTTCTTCCGATCCCCGGCTAATAATTTTGTCATCTCCCAAAACATCCCTGTTGGCAACTTCACATAATGGCCCCACTTTACACGCTGGCCTAACTCCACATGTTAATCTAACTTCCCATTTTGGCCAAGCTTCACATAGTGGCTCAGCTTACAAGTTTGGCCAGATTTATTATTTTAATCAAAGTTTTATTAAGAATGACATACTAGTGGCAAAAACATTCAGGCAGATTCCTTCTACTCATCAGTGTTTCTTTCGGACATTTTTCTCCAGGGGATGGCACTTCAAACGTTCAGAGGGGGGGGGGGAGGTTAGTGGACGGACAAAGATTGTAGGATATATTTTTATATCCTACAATCTCCGGAGAGTTCTCAAAGAAACTCTGTTTTTTATAAACTACCTCTACAGAGTCATCTATATCTCTCCGACCTCTCCTTTCTGTCTCGTCATGTCCTCCTCCCTCCATCAAATCTCATTCCCCCCCCCCCTCTCCAGACACTTTTTTCCTTTAACTACCTTGCCCACACCGCAACACCCAAAAAACGAAAGTTATAAAAGTATCATTGCGCGCGTCCCAAGCAGACAACGGATGCATGTAACACTCCGCAGAGTTGCACTTCTTCCCCAGAGTTTTATTTTTTGTTTAACTAACGACTAACTTCGTTTCCTGCAAGTGCTTCTGATTTTTTCTGCCGCCCTCGTGCGCGCGCACATGTTACTGCTTCCGCGCATGCGCAAATTCATTAAGAAACGCTGGAGGTTGGCCACGTGATCAGCACGCGTTCTATGACGTCATGAATTATCTCCCCCCCCCCCCCCCCCCTCCCCGTTTCTTATTAAATTATGTAGACCCTTGGTTGGATTTAGACATTTAGTTCTTTGCTTCAAGCTTACAAATACGACTTTCTAACACCTCCCCCCCCCCCCCCCACACACACTAATTCCCTATCCTGCCTTATTGGACCCACGTGCGTCGAAGAAATGAACAGAAAAAAAACATACTGCAACATCTTTGAACCAGTTGTTAAATATTTTTTTACAACGCCCTCAAAAAAGCCTCTCCAGGTGTTTTCTTTACATAATTCACAAGAAAACAAAGTCAGTTGAAAACAATTTCATTCACAACAACGGCCGACAACTATAAAGGGAAATGTAGGTCTAGATACAGATTATATTTGTTTCCCTTGGTATTTCTTAAATCACTGAATTTATACTTGGCTAGTCATTGTACAAGCTTAGGATTGGGATTAGTCATACAAAAAATGTAAGCATTCATTACGCTTTTTTTTGTTAGTTTAGTTTCTGACTTGCTTCTAAAGCTTCTAAAAAAAATTGAAACGAAGAATGGCTAATTAATGTATGTATGGCGACTAATGTAGGTATCAATAGTATCATTCGCAAGTTAATGTATGAATGACTTGTAAGCTTGGGTAGAGCTAATCCAATTTCGGTTCATTTTATTTACTTTTTAAAAAATGGAACAGCTTTTTAAATATTACGGCTGCTTAAATTGTTAAAGCTCTTTTAAATCTAATGAATGTTAGGCTGTTTTTTAAACGTTAGGCTGTTTCAAATTTTACGGCTGTTTAAAATATGTTGCTTTCATTGTCACACTCTTTTTAAATGTTACGGCTGTTTTAAATGTTAAGGCGGTTGTAAATTTTACGTGTGTTTTAAATGCAACGGCTGTTTTAAATGTTACGTCTGTTTTAAATGTTAAGGCGGTTGTAAATGTTACGGCTGTTTTAAATGTTACGTCTGTTTTAAATGTTAAAGCTGTTTTAAATGTTAAAGCTGTTTTAAATGTTACGGCTGTTTTAAATGTTAAGGAGGTTGTAAATGTTACGGCTGTTTTAAATGTTACGTCTGTTTTAAATGTTAAAGCTGTTTTAAATGTTAAAGCTGTTTTAAATGTTACGTCTGTTTTAAATGTTAAAGCTGTTTTAAATGTTACAGCTGTTTTAAATGTTACGTCTGTTTTAAATGTTAAAGCTGTTTTAAATGTTAAAGCTGTTTTAAATGTTACGTCTGTTTTAAATGTTAAAGCTGTTTTAAATGTTACAGCTGTTTTAAATGTTACGTCTGTTTTAAATGTTAAAGCTGTTTTAAATGTTACTGCTGTTTTAAATGTTACGGCTGTTTTAAATGTTAAAGCTGTTTTAAATGTTAAAGCTGTTTTAAATGTTACGTCTGTTTTAAATGTTACATCTGCTTTAAATGTTACGGCTGTTTTAAATGTTAAAGCTGTTTTAAATGTTAAAGCTGTTTTAAATGTTAAAGCTGTTTTAAATGTTACATCTGCTTTAAATGTTACGGCTGTTTTAAATGTTAAAGCTGTTTTAAATGTTAAAGCTGTTTTAAATGTTACATCTGCTTTAAATGTTACGGCTGTTTTAAATGTTACTGCTGTTTTAAATGTTACAACTGTTTTAAATGTTACGTCTGTTTTAAATGTTAAAGCTGTTTTAAATGTTACAGCTTTTTAAATGTTACAGCTGTTTTAAATGTTACGGCTGTTTTAAATATTCCGGCTTATGAGTTCCACGTCTCAGCATCCAGAGCTGGAATCAAGTTGAGCCAACTTTAAATGATCTGCACGTGCACATGTTCACGTGCAACTCATTAACGCGCGCAACGAACTATTGACTTGAGCACTGGCGTGTGTATCCAACACACTCACACACACACAATCACACTCACTCACACACCCACACCCACTCACACCCACTCACACACACTCACTCACACACACACTTACACATACACACACTCACACACACTAACACACACTCACACACATACTCACTCACACACACTCACACACACACTCACACACACATGCACTTAACCACTCGCACTTGTCCCCACACACTCTGGTAACCATAGCGACATGGACCAAGTCTGAGATTCTTTCAGGGTTAACCTCCAGATGTAAGAACAATACATTTTAATTAGCTCAGCTTCTAAGCTCAAAGTGAGTACTAATTGAGTCAAAAATAATATGGACTGGACCATTCAGTACAAATGTTCGGACTAAAACTTGCGGTAATGATAAACGATGAACAATTTCTTCTTATTGGTGCATGCTGAGCCATGGACCAGTCCCACTACCTCCCACCCCAGTGTTTCTTTCAGACTTTTTAGTTTCAGGGGTGGGGGGGGGGACAATTTTTTTCCGGAGAGGGGGCACTTGTAAAAGTTTAAATTGGATTTTATTTCGTTCTCGAATCATGTCTACCACCCACCCCCGAAGAGTTGCCTGAAAGAAACACTGTTCCACCTGGAAAAATAAAAATAAACGACATGCATGATATCCCCTTGGAAAAAAATTGTGCCATGTTTCAGCTTTCTAGTGATATGTGAATCCCTCTTAAATTATAAAAATGTCTAGGCCTATTATTCGCTTTTTTTTTACGCGTTGTTCAGAGTGGGGAGGGGGGGGGAGAAATCGGGTAAGAGGTGGCTGATGAATTGTATCTGCTATACCTTGTCAGTCTACATCCAGTGTTATTGGCTACTTAAGCTCTACCTGTCTTGAAGCATCAGACAATAACATCTCACCTTTATTTCCCAGGTAAATGCCATCTGCAGGGGATTATGGGATTAACAGTAAAGAATTAGCTTTAGAAGGGATTAACGTTCACGTTGTAAAGATTTGGTAACGTGTAAACAAATTTTATTTTACATTTTTCCTGTTGATATTATTTTTATCACATGTGGTTTAAAGCTGCAGTTAGCCTTCAGTGCTTCACTTAATATCAACGTTGACAAATCCCCCCCCCCCCCCATTACAACTTCACCTAACAATCCATGCCAAGAATGAAAAAGCCTTTGTCTTGTAGATGACAGTCATAAAACACATCTGACGGATCTAATTTGGTTGAGAGGGGGGGGGGGGGGGTTGGTGGATTTACGTGGGTCAGAAAATCATAATCCAATAGTTGAACTCGAGTTAGCTCTAGAATTAATCCCTCCCACGCGTGATGTGGCATTGACAGACATTTCCTTTTCAATGATGGTGATTATGGAAGGCTAGAAATTGGCACATGCCACTGTGTTTGTGCCCCCCCCCCCCCACCACATTTCCTCTTCAATGTCCCGGTAATTATGGTAGTGTTTCATGTTTGTCCACCCCCACCCCCCACACACAAACACAATCCACCCCCTTACACACACACAATCACCCCCACACTCACAATCTACTCCCACACACAATCACCCCCACCCCCCCACACTCATAAGCCACCCCCACATACACAATCCACCCCCCCCCTATCACATTTCGTCTTCAATGCCCCGGTAATTATGGTAGTGTTTCATGTGTGTCCACCCCCCCCCCCCACACACACACAATCCACCCCGCACTCACAATCCACCCCCACACTCACAATCCACCCCACACACTCACAATCCACCACACACACACACACACAATCACTCGTGGTTGCTAAACCGAGAAACATCGAGTTCGAACACTCGGACAGATGAGGCTCGATAGCTGGGGACAGCAACTCCTCTAGTAGAGACAACTCCAAAATCAAACAACTGCTAATTTATACTACTAGTTTGTTCTAGGTTGGACACAAATCCAATGGATGGAAGCAAACCCAAAAACGTAGATATATGTACCTAATTGTGTTTGAAGGAATTCCAAAACTAAAATTAAGAAAACAAAAAAAGAAGTCAAGGGGGAAAAGACATAATTTAGGGGAGCTAACCATTAAAATATAAGCATTTTGATTTTTTGCGATTGTTTCCCTTGCATGTAAAAATGCATTTTGCAATTTTAATGTACATAAAAATAAAGTATAATGTCTTACAAAGAAAATATTCTGTAATACAATGTTTGAATTAAATTTTTAAATTATTTTTTTATTCATTGCAGAAAAAAATGACAATCTTCATTCTCTTGATACTCTCTGTCTGGGCGCTGCCTACGGACGGGGCAGTGGCTAAGGACGAACATGGATGTGAGCTGGAGGGCAGGACGTACGCTGCAGGGTCCAGGTTCGCGCCCAACTCGTGCACGACCTGCGAGTGTCCCCTCCACGGGGGCGTGGCCGAGTGCGTGACGCGGGAGTGCGTGCAGGACCAGAACTGCGTGCAGTACAGCATTCAGTCGGACGAGTGCTGCCCCACCTGCGTGGAGGTGGGCTGCCGTCATACGGGTAGGTCACGTGGTCAAATCGTGACGCCATCCAAATCATGACGTCATCCTAATAATGAAGTCCTCCAAAAATCATGACGTCATACACATCATGACGTCATCCGAATCATGACGTCACACAGTTAATCACGTCAGTCTTGACATCCCATGCATTCGAGATTTTAGAAAAATATGTTTAAATCTTTAAAAAAACATTATAAACCGTACTGACCCCCCCCCCCATACCTTTTTACTCGAATTCCAGTGTTCTAAGGCGATCACGTGAAACACGCCAACAAAATACGCTGGATTTACCAAAGTACTGGTTGCTATTGAGACTAAATACTTAGGTATAAATATCTATGAAAGTGAGCCTTCACATTTATACCTTGGTGGAACAAATCACGAGATAACTATTAAAAGTGAGACCTCTAGATATCAGAGCGACCACAGAAGTAATTTGTTTATAACGTCAACACAGACGGTGGAGGGGTGGTGGTCATGAAAAGTCGAGATTAGTGGAAGCGTAAACTAGAATGTATTCATGGTGAGGCCTTATCCCATAAAGAGGCTGTATTCCATAATGGGTGTTACAGACTGCTACCAGGAAGTATCGAGAGTTCGACTCAGACGAGTCTGTAGGATGTCCCTGATCCAACCCCAGCTCTGATGAATACTTGACTTATGGAAAATAAAAGCGACTGGGCATAATGCTGGCCACACCACTGCTTCATATGCCAAGGTCATGAAACAGATGAACTCTACCTCATCTGCCTAAATGGATCGCGAGGTCTAAAGAGAAATCTTTACTTTACCGACACAAACACTCACTCGATATAAAATCTCTTGATTTCTGTTCACAGACGGGAAACTGTTTCATCAAGGGGAGGTGATCCGTAACGAGGCTTGTGTTCGCTGCTACTGTCCCTTTGGTGGCGGGAACCCGGTGTGTGACGTCACGTCCTGCCCGTTGTCCCAATGTGTTGACCCCGTGAGTGTGCCTGGTGTGTGCTGCCCCATCTGCCCTAATGGTGAGTACCGTTTCACGTCCGTTAGATATTTCTTAAATGAAAGGAATTTGAGGTAAGGAAAAGCTTATTAAAATGAATGCTGGGGAATACAACAAATCCTAGAATTTTAGAAATACAAACAAACACACACACACACACACACATACATATGTGTGTGTGTGTGTGTGTGTGTGTGTGTGTGTGCAAAGCACACTGACCTTTCGTCCATGGAATTGGCTAGCCAATGTCCGAATTCAAGATAAATGGATGGTGATATTGGCACGCATTAGCCAACTTCGGGTTTTGGCCGTAACACACACACACATACATACATACACACACACACACACACACACATATATATATATATATATATATATATATATATATATATATATATATATATATATATATATATATATATATATATTCCCACATGATATTTCTTTGCCCAGGTCCTAACTGTCAGATTGGAATCCTGACTCTGCCCATTGGTCAGTCTATTCTTGTAGAGGGAGCCACGTGTACCTGTGAAAGTTTTATTGACGTTGACGGAATCAAACGGACATTAGCGAGATGCAACAAGAGCTAAAGGCAGGAGCTTAAGACCGAGATCAACCCACACAATGGCTGGTATGGGACACGGTGTTCACATAAACACACACTGCCTGTTTACATTGTGCCTTAAACACAAAGCAAGATGTTCATGTTACATGGACTAAACCTTAATCACCCGGTCAAACGAATGGAATCCACGCATTCATCACACGGATAAATAAAGAAAATTTGTTTACAGATACAAAGCTAGCAAGAATTTATATAGCTATCAATGTGCCTTTGTCTATAATTAATTAATTAATTAATTTTTGTTGCTTTATTCGGGTGTATCTATTGATTGTTATACTTCTTAAATAAAACTAAGATTAAACTAAGAAGTTTTTTCTTCACTTCACAATGTAAATGAAGTTTCCTTATATTGGCTTCATCAAAAATGATAAAATTGCATTTTATCTTGATTACTTGTGAACGAGTGAACCTGTTTTTCAGACCGCGATGTAACACGGTCTCTGAGCCAACTCAGCACCAGTGGGTATCTGGCATAGTTTGGTTAAATCTAATGCAGCAAATCGCTGTACTGGTAGCAGACTGGCTAAAAACATAGACAAGTCTACTTCATCTGCCCTTTGGGTGACTAGATCTATGAGTTATTTCCACATAGCTATTTTGTATAGAAATGGACAAGGGCACATAACTCACGTCAGTTTGTCAGGGCAAATTAGTGTAACGATAGAAGTAGAAAAATATTGTATTTTAAATCAGCAAGAAACGTAATTCTCGGAATTTAAATCTCCTTCAATTAAAACTAGGTCTAACCGAAAAGGAAAATAAAATTGAAAGCAAAAAAGTAAAATTTGTCCTGGTTTTAACCCGTATACGCCAGTTGCTAGCAGTTGAAAAATGTCAATATTTAAGTTCAGCCTCTCTTCTCTGCTTAAGTTATTTCAACACACACGTGACCTCCTTGGTTTTCTTAGAGTTCAAATTTCAGTTGGTGATGAAGACTGAGACATTCTAAAGGGGTAAGGAGAACATGAGATTTAGTGGCGAATAGTTTGCGTACGGTGGCGAAGAAGATGATGTTGCGAACATTTTCTGCATGACGGCGAAATAATAATGGTCAGTGGCGAACATTTAGAACACAATTGCTCTAAAGTACAACAAAATCTAGAGTAGAAGACAACATTATAAAGCAGACCTGCTGTGATGGGGACAAAACCCATTCTCATTAAAAATAAGGAATAAACACAAAAGTTCTTTTTGTCCATCTTTTTAATATAAACAACAGGGGATTGAGCTTTGCTCATACTTATGGGGTTGGGTCTTCTGGGGACTCATAGACTCAAGGGACTGTGACTGGGGACTCATAGACTCAAGGGACTGGGACTGGGGACTCATAGACTCAAGGGACTGAGACTGGGGACTCATAGACTCAAGGGACTGGGGACTCATAGACTCAAGGGACTGGGGACTCATAGACTCAAGGGACTGGGGACTCATAGACTCAAGGGGCTGAGACTGGGGACTCATAGACAAGGGACTGAGACAGAGGACTCATAGACTCAAGGGACTGAGACTGGTGACTCATAGACAAGGGACTGAGACAAGTGACTCATAGACTCAAGGGGCTTAGACTGGGGACTCATAGACTCAAGGGACTGAGACTGGGGACTCATAGACTCAAGGGACTGAGAAAGGGGACTCATAGACTCAAGGGACTGAGACTGGGGACTCATAGACTCTGGGGACTCATAGACTCAAGGGACTGGGGACTCATAGACTCAAGGGACTGAGACTGGGGACTCATAGACAAGGGACTGAGACAGGTGACTCATAGACTCAAGGGGCTTAGACTGGGGACTCATAGACTCAAGGGACTGAGACAGGGGACTCATAGACTCAAGGGACTGAGACTGGGGACTCATAGACAAGGGACTGAGACTGGGGACTCATAGACTCAAGGGACTGAGACTGGGGACTCATAGACAAGGGACTGAGACAGGGGACTCATAGACTCAAGGGACTGAGACAGGTGACTCATAGACTCAAGGGACTGAGACTGGGGACTCATAGACAAGGGACTGAGACAGGGGACTCATAGACTCAAGGGACTGAGACTGGGGACTCATAGACTCAAGGGACTGAGACAGGGGACTCATAGACTCAAGGGACAGACTGGGGACTCATAGACTCAAGGGACTGAGACAGGGGACTCATAGACTCAAGGGACTGAGACTGGGGACTCATAGACAAGGGACTGAGACAGGGGACTCATAGACTCAAGGGACTGAGACTGGGGACTCATAGACTCAAGGGACTGAGACAGGGGACTCATAGACTCAAGGGACTGAGACAGGGGACTCATAGACTCAAGGGACTGAGACTGGGGACTCATAGACAAGGGACTGAGACAGGGGACTCATAGACTCAAGGGACTGAGACTGGGGACTCATATCTCTCATTTCTACTGCCACTAGTGGCTAAGATTCCTCCATGGAATAAGCGGTTGTCCAGACTGTATCTGCCCCCCCCCCCCCCTCACATTTTCTTACAATATTAAGCATTTTAAACGAATTAGCTTTTAAAAACCTTATTTCAATATCTGAACAATTTAAGTTACGATAGTTACAGATAATACGAAGAATTGGTCGTTGTATTTTTGGAATGTACATCTTTTTGCACTAAAAAGAAGAAAGTTTACCCCCTACCCCCGACCGAAATGGAATTTATAAAGTACATATTATATACTTTAACAGTGTCCGCCTCCACCCGGAAAGTTTTGTCCGCTCCCTTCCTCCTACCCCGAAAACATCAAGTGCTCCTTTCCCCCCACCCCTTAGGAAAATTTTTGAAAGAAACAATGTATGTGTATCGCAACAACAGTAGCTCTTAATTGTTAAAAAATGTTTGCGACCGAACGAAAGGATTTTGAAAACTTTCTTCGGCAATATTGTTCTAAATTATGGCAGGAATCGATTGGTACATGTTTCAAGTCGCTAAGTGGTCTGGTTGCCGAGATATGGGCCAAAAACTGCTTTTTTTCGAGGTTTTTTGGCTTTTCCGGGAAATCCATGAAAGAAACCCGGAATTTTTATGGCCTATGCTCATCCTCGTAACTTGCTTAACATAATTGCTTTTAGAACTAGTCCTCGATATTGCTTCGTTGAGGAGGAGATACGACTTAAAGCTGCGGACACACATTCATACATTCATCCATCCATCCATTCATCCATCCAGAAATGACGGGTTAATAAAGACAATTCTCCAGAATGGAAATTGCGCTAAATAAAACTAGAGGGAAAAAATATTGAATATACTTACTCAAAGGATCATGGGAGTTCATAACCAGTGTTTCTTCCAGACTTTTTTCTCTGGGGGGGGGGGGGGGCATTTGAAATTTTCGGGGGGGGGGGGCGGACACTGTTAAAAGTATATAATGTCTATATAAAATATAAATACCATTTCGTTTCGAAGATATGCCTGGAAGAAACTCTGTTCATAACCAAGCGAATTCTTGACCCCGTCACGTTTACCTGTCAAGGTCGTTGAGTGAAAGTCCACGTCTGCTGCTAAAAAAATGGCAAGTTCTTAAGTCTTACTGCAATTATGTTTAGGTATGTGTCAGGCCTGTGTCAAGTTTGTGTCAGGCTTATGTCAAGTTTGTGGCAGCCGAGCGTCAAGTCTACGTCACATTTCTCGAGAGCCGAGAGCAAATATCAGTCCCAGTTGTACGCACTACGGGCAGTGAAGGGAACATTTCGTTCATGGAGAGGCGTTGTGGAGGTTAGGTCCTTTTAAAATGGAATTGGTGGAAAACTGTTGATATCTGTATACCAGATACATTCGGTTAGCTGTACTGTAACAGTTAAATGTAGATGAATGTATGTTTCGAGTGTGTATCTTAAAAAGGCGATATGGATCTAAAATGTAAGGTGGGTGTGCGCATGCGCTAAGGAAAGGAAGGAGAGAGGTAGATAGCGCGGGAACAACATGGCGATGTTTGAAGGCGATGTTCTTATGAACCAATAAAATTATGGAAATTAACGGAACAAGGGTTGATTTTGTTTTTGAGTGTGTGCCATGCAATAGGTAGGAAAAAGGCTGTGACACGTACCATCCATAAGGGAGACAGAGTGGCCTAGCGGTAGAGAGCTTTACTGCTAACCCGTAAGTCTCGAGTTCAAACCGGGTTCAAGTCAGTAGACGGTCCCTGAGTCCACCCAACTTTGATGGGTAACTAACTCACATTAGGGAAAGTAAAGGCGGCTGGGCATAGTGCCACACTATCTCTTCATATGCCGAGGTCACAGAAACAGATGAACTCTACTTCACTTCGAGCAAATCTCGTCAAAATAGGCTAGTGTCATAGGTAAAACTAAGGCCATAAATCGGCTTAATGTCATGGTTAGTGTTATAGGTAAAACCAAGAGGAAATATAGGCTTAATTTCATGGTTAGTGTTAGGGTTAGGGTTAGAATTAGGGTTATGAACAGGGTTCGTGTAATTTAAACGTCATTGACTCTAAAGACTTGTTGGATATAAACTTATATTAATTTTTTTTAATCTTAATTAAACATGACAGGGCAACTATGGATGTATAGCTTAATGAAGACAGATAGTTGAAGTAGCAAGAAATGATGGAGACACGGGGAGAATACCTCTGGTGGAGCTGCTTATATCTCTTAGACATAAATTTGTGGTGAGGGTGGGGGTAAGGAAGGGAGGGAGAATGTTGATGGGACAGCGAGCCCAGAAAACTGAACAAACCTGTTCTTTTGTCTGTCTGTCAGTGTCACAACAATGCTTTTTTTTTAGAAACGAGAAAATAATTAAATTACTCGATGTAGGCCGACTAACAAAAGTGCAGTACACAATACACTGTTGTTTTATGACTAGTTACAAAGTACTGCTAATCTATGACCAGTACCAATGTACTGCTAATTAATGATATAAAACCTACACTAATTAATGACATGTAAAGTGTACTGATATATACAGTACTGCTATTTAATGACAACTAAAAAGTCTACTAATTAGTGACATAAAACGTACTTATAATTTTTGACTAATACCAAAGTACAGTTAAGTAATGATATCTAATAAGTGCTACTAATTAGATAGTATCTAAAAAGTGCTTCTAATTATGGAGTCTTAAAGCCCTGTTGATTAGTGGCAGGTAGGAAAGAAGTGCTTCTAAAATTTGACACGTAGTAAAGTACTTGAGATTTTACATCAGGCAAACATGATCAGTGTTTCTTTCAGACCTTTTTTTTACCCGGGTAGTGGGGAGGGGGGGGGGTGGTGGCCACTTGAAACTTTGGGGGGGGGGGCGGTGGTTGACTCAATTTTCTGTGGGGGGGGGGGGGGGGTGGGGGAAACACTGGTAAGAGTATATATTTTCCACATAAATCCTACTTCGTTGGAGGGTGGGGGGGGGGGGGGGAGGGGCGGTAAACGTGGTTCAGGAGGAAAGCAGTGCAACCTCCCCCCCCTTGAAGAAATATCTGAAAGAAACACTGAATAGGACAAGTCTACTCTATC